GTGAAGGGCTGTCTTTGGATACATGTAATTTGAAAGGGCAAATATCAACCAGCTTTGAAGGAGAGGACGTTACTGAAAGCCACATAGCTCTCATCACTGATGGTTACGGTCCCTGAATTTGGCAGCCAGATTTTCACCATGACAATCAGATGTGTCAACTATGTTCCCTTGGAGTTGATTTTCTCCTCAGTTTTCACTGGTGAGTTACAAAATGTCTACAAAACCCAAAAGAGGAGAGCTTTTCCTTGAAGAAACGACATGGATGGTTTTGAGTAGTGATTGATGGATCTGGCTCATTCTCTTAAATCTGAGACCAGAGAACAGACCCAAAAGTGAGGGGAAATTGAACAAAGTTGTCATTTAGTGTTCTTGGTTCCCCTCTTTCAAATCTGAAGAAGCTGCTGGGAAGGTGTGCAAGAAAAGTTTACCTTTATGACTAGGAATTCTGGATTCCAGACAATCCTCAGCCTGTTAGTGGAGCTTTAACATTTCCTAGCAATTGCAAGCCAGGATATGCACATTTCCCCTACTAATAACAAAGCACTTTCTTGAAACAAGCCAAGTCTCAAAAAATAAAATCAGCATTCCCAGAGGAAATGCCACCGTAATTGAGACCATCAAAGCACTGGCTTTGGACAAAACTTCTGGAACATATTTGAGGGCTCCTATTTACAGGATTGTCTAAAGACAAATAGTTTCTATGTCTGGTTTCCCCCAATAACATTTACTCTAAAGAGAAAAATCAACCTTCTCCTTGCCCAGCTATAGTTTAAACTTAACGTGATCAATAAAACCAAATGTCTTCCTGAATATAAATGGGAGAATTTTCAGAATTCAGGATTGTGTGGAAAAATACCTTTCCTTTTGTTCAAACAGCTGATATTGCTGTAGTGTTAACAGAGAAAATTTAAACTTAACGTGATCAATAAAACCAAATGTCTTCCTGAATATAAATGGGAGAATTTTCAGAATTCAGGATTGCGTGGAAAAATACCTTTCCTTTTGTTCAAACAGCTGATATTGCTGTAGTGTTAACAGAGAAAAAAGTCCTGTGTCTAGTTTTCAATATAGATAATCCTTAAATAAATATATTTTTGTCTGTTTGTCAATCACTGAAACACCACAGATAAGTGGGGAAAGATCTGGGAAATAAACGACTTTTTTTTTTTTAAGAGATGCAATCTCCAAATTGTGGCCTCCAAGGGACAAAGGGAACGGTTATGAGATTCCCTGTGGGATAAGCTCTGCTTCCGACTGTCCCTGCAGGCGTGAGCCTTGCTGATAAGGTGGGGAACAGCACTGCTCTCGGTTTTGGACAGTTCATGTTGGGCCTGTTGTTTCTGCCACCTGAGAGGAGACATAACTCTTAAATTACAGTGAAATCCGCCTGCGGCAAAGTCTTCGGGTACCATTGTGAACCCGCACCTTCTTCATGCTCTTCTTCGCTATCTGAATGCCCAACCATGCCTGGCGGGAAGCTCCCCAGCTGTGCCTGGGCCTGTGCCGGCCACACGGGGAAGCAGGAGTGACAGGGGCCCAGTGTCTGTGGCTCTGCAGCATGACTCTCATGCACTGCCGTGGAAACCTGGTCCTCAACTTTGCCTGCATCTGGGATCACCTGGAAGCTTTAAGAATGTCCTGGTGCCTGGGCTCCCCTAAGATTCTGACATATGGTCGGGGTCAACCTGCACATCCATTTTTTCGGTGCTTCACGTGATTCTCATGGGAGCCAGGGTTCAGAGCTTCTGCAGCAAAGTGGTGAAAAAGTCAGCTCAGGCCTGAGTCTCAGTACTGGTGGCTGGGTCTCCTCGACCACTCTGCCTTGAACGACAGTCTCGCAGTGGTTCTCAAAGTGTGTCGCCTCGACCAGCTGCGTGGGCATCACGGGGGATCGACAGGAACGTGCATTTCCAGCCCCACCCCAGACCGCTGAATTGGAAACCCTGGGGTGGGGTGGTGGGTGTCTTAACAAACCTTTCGGGGGATTCTGATGCTGCTCGAGCTTGGTGATGTGGTCATAATAGCGACATCTTCTCAAGGCATTTGACAGTGACAGGAGATCATCAGATCTCCCACCCGTCTGGGGGTTGACGTCTCCCTCCTTCCCCACCCTCAGTCTCACACTTTCTACCCCATCGCTTTACCAAGACAGGCTGCAGGGCCAAGTCAGAGAGGCTTTCGCACGAATGGCCTATTTCCAGCCGACTGGAAGAGAAGACCGACAACTCTCGGGCTCAGTGATGTCACCGTGGGGGACCAGTCCACGGATACACCCTCAGTGAAGTACCAGGATGGATGTACCAGGATCATCATTAAAGGAGTGTTAGTAAGTGCAAAGCTAAGAAAACAAGATGAAACAAAGAACTGGAAATAACCTAATTTCCTCTTGGCAGGGAATTGGTACATTCAAGGGAGGAAAACGGACGTGGGGCCCGCGGCCCCCTTACTGCCCCTGCTGGGCGTGGGCGCCCGCCTCCTGCCGCGGCCTCCTCTCCTCCAGCTCCTCTCAGCCCAGGTACTCCGAGCCCCAGAGTGCTTTTCTGCCCTTCCTGGCTGCTGTGATTTTTAATTCCATGGCACTGCTTGAGCACAGGTCTGGTGTGAACCGAGGCGAATGACACGTAGTAAGAAGGGGCTGGTGCTGGTTTATTCATTCGCTTGGCAGCTGAACCACTGCAAAGGGTAACAAAATGCCAGCCGTGGGGTAGAGTCCAGCTCCCTCCCCGTAGGCTCTTCCTAAATGTGGTTTGACGCTCACACGACAGGCCGTGTCCCTCCCTGGGACCTTTGCTGCTCGTGCCACCTCAGGAAGCAGAGGCTGTGGGAAGAAGGCTGTGGGCCCTGCACCAGGCCAGGCACATGTGCCCGGACCTCCTGGCTGCACTCGTGGCTTCTGCTGTTGTAGGCCACTAGGTTTTGCGATGGTCTGTCACACAGCAAAGGGTAACTGACGTGGAGCGCATTACAGTCTGAGGGGTCTGGGGGCTACCAGTAAATTATCCAGAACTCCTATACATCCTGGCCATAAAAAAGTAACCTGAGCAAGAAATACAGTCTTGGGGTGTGCAATGGACTGGATGTTTGTGTCCTCCAAGATTCGTATGCTGAGTCCTCGTTAGATGGTGGATCCAGTGAGATGGTGTTGGGAGGTGATAAGGTCAGGAGGGTGGAGCCTCGTAAGTGGGATTATGCCCTAGCGAAAGGCCCCAGAGACCCCGTGTCCCTTCCATCATACAAGGACACAGTGAGGAGGTGCCATCTGTGAGCGGGGAAGCAGCCCTGACAGACACTGCGTCTGCCATGCC